CCTGTAGTCACGACCCCCCTGCCGTGACTCCTGGTTTGAGTGTAGTTTTGGGTGAGTGTGGCGTGCTTGGTGTGTTTTGGTTTGGTCTGTCTATGTTCTCTCTCTCTCCCTCTCTCCCAGTCGGTGGCTATGGGCGTTACCTCCAGCCCTCCATCCCTCTTGGTTTGGTGCCTTTCCTCACCTGCCTGCCATCAGCAATCAGCATATCTGACCACTATCAAGCCAATCCGCCATCCTTCGACAACCCAGGCCTCACATCCAGACCCTGCTGGATCGTTGAGTCACACGCAGTGAATCGTACCAGCCAGCCTTTTGTTTGAAACTAGAACGGCTGCCTTTTGTCTGCTTGTCTTGCCTGTCTTGTTAACTTTTGTCAATCTCCGTCTGTAGATCTACAACCGTCAGAATCCCACCAATGCCAGCAAGGCAGACTGGCCGGCCAGAGTCAGAGCCAGCCACGTTTTTGGATCCTCTACCAGACTCTATTTCACTCTTCCACCTGCTAAACCTGCCAGTTCAATCCAGCAACACTTGCTTTGGATAATAACCCCAAAACCCCGACGCTCTCTCCAGCTACATTCTGAACCTGTGAATAAACTTTACTGCCTGTCTCTTGTCTGTTTATATGTTCTGGCCACAAAACGTGACACCTTTCATATTTTCAACTGGTTATGTAAATGAAAAGCCATGACGGCAATCTTACACCACGCTGTGGGGGTGACTGGTGGTTGCAGTGGTGTGTGGTTTTTGTGCGAAGGGGGCGTGTCCAAGCAAATATAGAGTGTTAAGTTGCTCTTTAAGCCTTCAATGGCAAATATGTGAATGACAAAAGACTGTCAGCAATGTTACGCATTCAATTTCTCAAAAGGGCTCAAATTTGAAATGATGTCTTTATCTTATCAAATGTTTTGGAATGATGGCCGTGGCATTGTTGGCATTCTGGGACATTTTTAGTAAAACTCACCACAGTCTAAATAATGCATCTGGCCAAGTCCTGTTTTCTGTTCTGACTCACTCTTGGAGCCTGTGAATACTTTAAAGCACGGCTTTTTATTGTGAAAGTTGCTATCTTAATGTAACAGGCTTTGTGCTGCTGGCTAATACAAGCGGTCAACATTAAAATCTATTTCCACAGGCTCTTTCTTCCACTCATTATGTAGTTTACACCTCTAGCTGATTGTACCTAAACCCCATTTCAGTGGTATCAAACCGAACATTTCCACACGGCATGTACACACACACACACACACACGCAGGTCCTGTAGTCTTTCCCATAACCAATTTCAAATCCTATTTCTGTGCCCTTCTCCACAGTGATTTTTCTGGCTCAGAGATGTGAACGCCCGCTTGAATAAATATTAATGGTTAATTCTATGAGCAGTGCCCACTCACAAGTGTGCTGGAAGAACAAAAGGCCTTGTTTACAAGTACGCTTCAGGAAAGCTAAGGCATGGAGGGCCTCTGAGGGCGGCTCTGTGGCCCCGTTGACTCACAATGGAGAGCTGATTGGAACTAACTCTTAACTTCCAGCGCACAGTGGCGGGGTTTTGATTGGCAAAAATCCTCAACACAACAAATTTCTATTCAGCCGCTGCGAGGACGGAGATGGCAAAATCAAGCCTCCAACCTCACAGCCTCCAACTAAACTCGTTTAAGACAGAGCTGAGAGGTAATTAGGTTTCTGGGAACAATAAGCACTCAACACCTTATGTAGCTTCAGCCTTGCTCCAGACATTTCCTTTGGTGTAATTAGGGGAGGTGTGAATTCCTCATCAGATGGATCACCATCTGCATTCACACACTCTATGTTCATTCCCCCAGTCACCAGCTACGAGCCTATGTTCACGCTGCTTATCGTGCAGGAGGTGGAGCTGGAGAGGGATGAGGAGAGGGCTTCTCGTTCTAAGGTTCTTTCCGTGCTATGGCTCTCCAGCATGCAAAGGTTAATCAATTCTGAATGATGAGCCATAAAAGCTTTAATAATACAGCCATTCTCTAAAGACAGTCCTGCATGCTTGCTCAGGATGGACCGACTGTTTTAGGAAGCTCCGACATTCCAAATTACAAATCGCTCAAGCATTCCTTAACAGCCCAAAGAGCGCTGGACCCAGTGAGGGTCCAGTGAGCAGGACAATGAGCCCTGCAGCGCGGAGATAATGTCCGCTCAAGATGGGAAACCAGAGAGATTCATCACAAGGCCATCAGCATCAACCTAATGCCAAACATTCACTTGTGCTCCTGTCGAGTTTTGACTGTAGTTCCACCACTATTCTCAGATCGCAGAAACCAGCTTTTCTTTCCAAACAAAACTTCTTAGAAACGATGTCAGTCGACAAAGTCCTTAATTTGACAGAAGAGACAGCTGTTCATTCCCCTTTTCCCACAACAACCAGCCAACCTTTTCTTTTAACTATGACCCACAGATGACCCACGCGTCATTTTTGCAAGTCTCCAACTACTGACAGCTTATAATCTGCTGTAAATGTACTCTCAAACCCAGTGTAATGGTAACCTAATACGCCTGTCATATGCCAGTAGCCCACGTTAATAATTAACAAAGCCTTTCTCTTGCTTTAATGCAGTAGATCGTGGAGGAGTATGTTACACAACCATTTTTATAGTCAAAGCAAAGTCTGATTTTAACCCAAATTTTGTCAAACCTATCCAAGTACTTTTGTGCCTAGACCTACTCAAACTGGCCAGGAAAGACATGCACGGGTAAAGTCCATCAGAAATTATATTAACTTGTTGCCAATGTGTTATAATCCTGCACAATAGACTTACATTGATTTTTGGTCCACATTTCTCAATCAAACAAATCTCTTTGATAGGAATTTAGTGGGAAAACATTCATCCAGCGTTAGATCGCTATTGGGCAAATGCTGACCTCCTTTCAAGTATCAAGTATTCGAGGGATCTTTGTGATCTTTTTTTATGAAAATGAGTAAACGTATAGATACTGAGGATTGCAAACACATTCACACATCAAAACTTTAATGGAACTGATCAACCAAATTATCAGCAATCTGATCCACCATGGCCAATTACCCTGATTACAGTGTTATAGCACTCTAAATGGTGCCACTTTCTCGAAATAATAAACATGACACTATCTTGGCACGTTCTTTCACAATAGCTAATGGCTAAATATTCCACCGGGTTAACTGAGTAATTGTCTGTTGTCAACATGCCACGTATAATTATGAGGGACTCTAAAAGAGCATGTGTTAATTGTTTTTTTTTGGCTTTTTCTTGCAGCTTGTCCTCTTCCCGCCACCCTCGTGTCCTTGGCCAGGCAACCCCTCAGCACATTCCAGCGCGTGTCTCTGTCACGAAGCGAGCATCATGAAATAAATCATCCCGCACGCATCCATTCAACTGAATGCCTCTTTCTTTCTTTCTGTCTCTCTCACACATACAAATGTGTAGTAAACTGAGATATTTACTGTGCAATAAAACGTTTTTGTGGCAAACCACAGGTCCTGTATATTTTAAGAGAAAGGTGGCGGGTAAGCAGCTTTACTTAACATTAAAAAGATCTCAGGAATGTGACTGACTAAACCAATATGATGATGATGTCAAAGCAGCAGGACGTGATTGGCTGTCAAACGGCAGAGGGCAGGTGTAGTTAGCCAGAGACAGAGGTTATACATCCAGCTAAAGCTTCAGTGCTCTCTTTGCAGACTCCTTTTAATCACCATAGTCAGAACAGTCTTTTGGACCAACTGTGTTTCATGGATGCTCAAGCATGAAAGAGGAATCGTGTTGGGTGGATCCATAGAAATAATGAATAAAAAAGGCTTTAGAGTTTGTCACCGCAAAACACAGCATTTTAATTATGGTAGATTCCCTTGAGACTGAGCTGCAAATACAGTACTGGCTCTTTAGGTACCACTGGGAGTCTGTATCATTGCTAAGCTAATAATGTTTGCCACTGTAGTGCAGATATACACATTAAATTAATCTGGGTAATATGCATACTGGTTTTATTGTGTATCATATCAGAGTATGCTCATTAATGCTAATAGGGAATCATTACTGTAGTTTGCATATGAGAGGTTTTTAAAATTAAACTGTCAATCGCTATGTTCCTAATGCCTAATGCTCTCTCAGCTGGAGCTGTGCATGTGTCTGAGCCAAACATATTACAACTTCAGCTTCAAAGAAATAGTTTAGCATTTTGGAAAATGTGATTATTCACATTGTTTGTGAGAGTCAGACAAGAAGATCAAAACCAACCTCATGTCGTCAGTTTTTGTGCTTCAAGTACAAAGCTGAAGTCAGGTTAGCCTGTCTTGGCAGCTAGCAGTTCTGAAAATGACTAACTATTGTACCTTGTATGTTTAATCCATTATAAAACAGAAATCTAAAGGCAACAATTTGCTTTTGATGGGTTGTAACAATTCCTTGATAAATAACAGTTTAGCATCTTTTTTATTTTATTTATTTGTATTGGGATGTGTTAGGTCTTTTGGTCGTATTTTGTAAGGGTTGATTGTACAGGGTACAGGTAAGTTTGTAACTATCCTCATCAGTTCAGATAAATGTATATTGTCACTGTAATGGCATCTTTTAATGCATTTCTTTGTGTTACTGTCCAATAAAATTAAATAAAATCTTTGGCTGCAGCGCTGGTTACCATAAAATGTTTGTGTATGGATTAAATAAATGAGATAGAGTGCATTAATTGGGGAGCTTTAGAGGTGTTGGTAGGTGTATTTTTGAACATTGAAAAGAGACAGGATAGTTTCCTCCTGCTCCCTGTCTTTACGCTAAGCTAGGCACATCAACACACATTCATTAAAGTGCTGTCAATCTAACTCTTGGAAATAAAGTGAACACATACATGTATTTCCCAAAAATGTTGAACTATTTCTTCAAACTGAAATAAATGAGCAAATATCCAGAAAACATCAACTGTTTTCTGATATAAACTCCACATTTCCTTCCATAGCAAGTGCATGTGCAAAACAACATCACTTTGGTGTAAGAGTCCTCACCTGCTTGACCAGTAGCGATGCTAACCGCAGCAAACAGCCTCTGCGTTCGGCTCAGGTCTGACACCCCGTTGACAGCCTCCACCTCAAAAGTGTAGTTGGCGTGGGCGAGCAGATCCATGACGGTCACATAAGTGTCTACTAATCCTGACTGTGCAGGAGAGTATCCCACATTTGGTCCACACGGAACACACTCCTCGGGTTCCCAGCTGCAGCGCCGGCATATAACCCTGTAGGTGACGTCGTTGCGGCCGCCCGTGTCAGCCGCCGGGTTCCACTCCAGGCTAACTGTGGTCTGGTTGATGTTGTAGACCAGGTTCTGTGGCGCTGAGGGAGGTCCTGTCAGAGAACATGGACAAAGCCGGAGTTAAATAACTGGGTGCCAAGGAAAGTGACAGCCAAGAGTGTGCACTGACTGGATCTGTGCTTTCCCTGTTTTCTGAGAGAGAAAAAACACTATAGGACATGCCAGGTCCAGCCCTAGAGCCAAACACTCACTCAATTATAATAAGACTCAGACCCAGAAAAAAAAAAAATAGCACAGGTACACTGAAAGGAAGTCAGCTCTGGCAGGCACCAAGGTCAGTGTCAGAAGGCTGTGAAATCAAGGATGAAGCCCAAAGTTTCAAAGGGAGAATAATTTCAGTCAGAGTTCATGCAACACAGCTTTTATGTCTCTGTTTTTATGAATTGTCATTACCGGGACAGCACACCCATCTAACCCCCTCACTTCCATTTCCCCTCATCCTTTACACTATAAAATATTACCATTAAATTGATTACACGATTTTACAGTGAAAGGGTTTTTCCGTTTAAAGTCAGGTCCACTTACATGGTCTAGTTATCACATTCAAAAACATTTCAGAACATACAATACAAAAAGTTTTTTCTAAAAATAGTTTTGGGGGGGATGTGACCAAGGATGTAGAGTGGGTTCATCTGGTGCCTTAGCCTCTGCCATCACTGTATGAATGTGTGTGAATGGGGTGAATGTGAGATGTAGTGGAGAGCGCTTTGAGTGGTTGGAGGACTAGAAAGGCGCTATACAAGTACAGTCCATTTACCATTTACTTTTTTGTAAATGTCAGATTGATTGTTTAATGAACTTAGAAAATTAAGTTGCTAAAAATGATAATTTAATTAGCTAATTAGCACCGGAGCCTGCACTGTGTTTGGCTTAAAATTATTCAGAAAGCCTTCTTCGTTATTTTTTTATTTGTCATTTTATTTCATGTGTCAAAGCACTTCAACCAGAGATCTTATAATCATGCGTTTGCACTGATCGTGACTTAATGAAGCTGCTAGCAGTACAGCAAAAGTCGTAATGATTTGACAGGGTAACAAATTAGATATCCAACTTGAAGCAGCTGTACTAAAATATGTTACCTAAATTCAGTACAATCAATCAATTTTAAAACACCCATCAGTAATAGTTCAGTTAAATCAAACTTTCAAAGCTACCTTCATCTTTTCTTTCACCAACCTAAAGATAAAGTTGATGTCTGTCGCAGCAGCAAACTAATACCTGTTTACACACACAAACACGCTACATTAACTTCAATTTGGAATTATGTTTGGTGCCATCTGATGAATGACAAATGAATCTTGACTTCAATGTTTTTTGTCTTAATTTTGGAACAACCTGATGCTTTTTTACAGTGTACTCATGCATGCAAACATAGCCAGTGATTCATCCAGATGGACTAAGGGCTTTGTTTACATAGCAATTGTTAACAGCTTAAAATCTGCAGCTGCTATGAGAATGATTGAGATGGTTACATGGTCAGACAAATGCTTAGCTGTGAAACAGGGGCCACAGACAATCACTCTCCAAAATCCAGCTATCCCAGCTGGAGACAGTGGCTTTACTGGGTTGCCTTGGAAAGGTATATCATGTAGACAGCAGACACTTAAAGTTAATGTCTTCCAAAAAGAACTGAAAGACTGACTCACCCACAGAATTTAGCAACAAGATTTAAACCTGGATTATCACTGCCCTGTAGCTGCGATTTACAATTTCACTTGACATACAATAACAACTAGCTCCATGTCATTAAAAGTGCACAGGACCACAGACCATTTGCCTGTAAATATCCACATGATGGCGAAGAGATTAGCTCATCTCGTAAAACAATGAATAACAAATTGCTGCTTTCATCTTTCAAATTCCAGGCTGTTGGCTTTTATGGCTCCGATGTTGATATAAATAAGCTCCTCCTAACGCAGTAAAGATTATATGACTTGTATTCTTTGTTTGTGAATGTTTTAAGAACATCTTTATTTGGTTCTCTGGGGATTTAAACCTTTCTGTTTTCCTCAGGAAATATTCTTTGAGGGAATCTTGGGGAGGGACCTCGCAACTCATTAAATTTGTCACATTAACTAAGAAAACAGGTCATACATATGCATAGGCCCAAAACTGCTATCACAATATTCAGGCTCATTAATACAGCACTTAGTTGTTTTTCCCTGTTCCACCCATTAGAACCGAGGGGCTCAATGGAGACATCCATATTCATGATTATCGGGTAAGATAAGAGACAGACTGTGGACTGGGAAGATGAAAGAGCCACCTGTGGCAGGTGAAGTGGAGACGAGTGACTGCTGATAGCAGCACTCGACTTCAGCCTTGGCACTGACATTCGACCCGCGCTCTCGATCTTCCTCGCGGACAAAGGGGAAGGTGTGCCTCGGCACATACGCCCACGCACATGTGCACACTCGCATACCACCCACCTGAAGCTCAGGGATCTTTTATTGTAGCATTTCCATGGCCACGGTAAGTGGTGATAACATCTCATTTTGCTCGTGCCACTCTCAGGTGCCACACATCAAAGCGGTGATTTGTTTGCAACAAGATGCAAAAGGAAAATTAGATTAGACTGACCCCGGATCCGTGTGATCTTTGTCTTGTTTTTTCAGATCACACGACCCTGCAAGCTTTGCCTTTCTTCCTTTAAAGACCCTCAGTGTCCTTCAGCTCTCTTTATCATTTGTCACTTTTCATATGTAGAACGCAACAAGTGCAATGCCATGAATGCTTGTGAGGAGAGTGTCTGAAAGAGTATGATTTGCTTGTCAAAGACTACGGAGTTCTTGGAGAGTTCTTGGCCGGAGATAAAAGTCAGAGGAAGAAGGCGACAGAGGCAAACCTTCTGTCCAGCATGTGGCCACTTACAAAAAGGTTTACACATTTCTCCGTCGAGACATGACAGGATGACGCATCATCTGACCGATTTTGTTATAAAGCATCCTGAATGCCTGCTTCTCTATCCTATCTTTCTGCCTTGGCGTCACTTTGTTTTCGCTGAAAATGCTCTGTCTGGACTGGAGTCTTCACCTACAGCACAGATTTGCGCCCTCCGCTGTCTGTCTGCTCATCCCTATAGCTCTAGGGCTTGTCGCTCTCCCTCTTCTTTTTACTCTTTTTTGTCTGTCTCTCACTCCCCCACTCTGTTATCTTTTCGTGTTCTCTCCTCTCACCCCTCCTCCCAGTCAAGTTTCATTTCACGGATTAGCCTGCCAGTGCCCCCACAGCCTGAAACGTCTCAATCACTTGCTAGCTTCCCTCCAACGCTGCCAGTGTGACCAAGCATGGGTGAGTGTGTGTGTGTGTGTGAGAGAGTTTTTATTGTTGTGCATAAAAATGGAATATGTGCATGCACAGTTTATGTTTCCTGCTACATCATTTGCATGCTTACATGGAACTTGTGATTTTGTGTAATAAACAAAGAACTCCCATGTGGTCTTCAGCTGCACAGAAGCACATCTAATAATCCACCATATAAAAAAAACACAGTATAGTAGCTGATTGTTTTTAGGTCATGTTTCAAAGCCCATCTCCGTTCTGTGCCGAGTTGTGAGACCTGTGTAAATCCAAGCTTAGGAGAGAAGAATCCAGTGCTTATCGGCCTTCAGAGGAGTTCGGGGGCTGACTTAACCCTCCACAGCCTATTAGCTGGCTGTGCTCTAATTGGAGAGCTGAGGGGAGTGGGGCGGCAGGGGTGAGTGGTATTCAAATCACCCATGAGGTAATCCTCTCTCTACAAATGTGTGCTGTGACCCCTTGACCTAGCCTCTAATGATGTGGCTGCAGTAGAACCTGTATGAGGGAAGCCATGCAGAAGAGGAGCTAAAGCTGTAGGGCCTGTCTGTGAAACAATCAGTCTTACAACAATGACCAACGTCACTGTGACTGGTCAAACTAAACACAGACATAAACTCTTAGGTTTCCTTATTAGTGGTGGTATTTGTGAATCTTGTTCTGAGTGAACTGGCTACAATCCGTATTTGCGTGGCGTCTTCTAATTACAATGTGGACAAAAACACCTGCAGTAATTTACATTGAATTTCCATGTGCGTGACCAGCATGGGGACATAAGGCTTTATGTTTTGATCAGCATTATTTCCAAATATTGGATCCAAGTTTAGTTTAGTGTGGCATTCAGTTTTGGTCATTTTGGTGATATGTTTTGTATTTCCCAGAATAAATCTAAAGGGATTGTTTTCATTTATTACAACTTGCGTCTTATTAGTATAGTTTAAGGTAAAACTTCTATTGATTCTATTATAATGGATGGACGGACGGATGACGCAACTAGGCCAAGCGAACAACTGCTCAGAGACCTAAGACCTCTATGGTGCCCAAAGGCACAAGTACATTGTGGTCATTTGATACATTGTAAATGTGTTTGGTTCACTGAAGCACAATATAAATTTACGGTTTTGGTACGGGTATTAGTTCTACATTTATACCATACTTGTTACAAAAAACATAAACCTTTCCTGCATTTCCATATTCTTGAGGCTCTGACATGTAAAAATGCCTCAAGTCAAAATCTAGATTTTGCATCTTAAAAAATGTAGTTGATAAAATGCTTTTATAGTGCATATTTTTAGATAAGTTGCTTTCAATCAAAATATAACCCCAAGAAGGGGCTCACAGCTAGGTTTTGCCCCTGGGCCTTCTTGCTGAATTGTGGGAACATGGCGACGCTGCTACAACAAGGTCGGATGGGGCAAGGAACTCAAGCAGCCACGCTATCAGACAGACAATAATAATCAATAATAATCCCATCTGAAAGGACAACTGCACGACAACGGAAACGGGTGGATTACATTGAGTTCCTCTTAAAGTGAGCTTCAGTCTGAGAGTAGAATAAAAAACAGAAGTTGTGTATGAATGTTTAGATATTGTGCTTGACACTGGATCTGATATTTGGTAGCAACACTAGCCTCTACATTCTGCAGCCCTTTCCCAGTCCCAGAGCAACTCCAGGCAGGACTGACCCTGTGACGGATGTCAACTTGTTGAGGTGGCACATTTTTAAGGGGGGTTGGGAGGAGGAGACGACTGCTCACAACTGCCCTTTTCAGCTTCTAGCCTGCACCAGTACTGCTCACAGCTGTTGCGTGATTGATGCCCACTCCCCGACCTGTCAGCAGCTCCAGTCTGTTCCTTGCTTCTGGAGAAAATGTTTCGTCCCCGTATATCTTGTTGTCTTTGCATATGTACGGCGTGGACAAACATTCAACAAACAACGCATTTCTTTCTTCCGCCCACTCTCAACACACAACACATGGGAAACAATGTATTTGGAGCTATGTTTTTGGAACTTCTTCCTTCATCTTTATTCAGCACGGATTTGGCTTTTCATGTCCCCACATTACAACTTCATTTTCTTTCAAATCCTCATAGACACATTCTTAATCTCTGTGTGCCAGAGATCCATCTCACTGTTTTGCTAAGGCATACGATATGGTAGCTTTACAAACCCCTATTTAAAACAATCTGTCAATCAAGCTATTTGTTCAGGCAGTGCAAATTCATTTTCAATTACTATTCACTCCTGGTCTGGATAAGGCATGAAAAAAAGAAAATCACAGTGACTGTTGGTCACACTGACTTAATCCAGCGATGAATGAGGAAATGCACGTACAGAAAGCTGTGCAAAAATTGCACTGGGTGAATGAGGAGGAGGGTGAAGCTATTCATACAAGTTAAAAATACATATTTACATATAATGGTATGGGGTCATCAAGTGTGGACTCGAAGTTAATGAAAATGAATAATGGAAAGTGTGCATTAGGCAACTTCAGTAATTACTGTGCTACTTGGCCAAGGTGATTACCCAGAAGGGAACAGCCAGAGGACATTGCAAAGAAGTGGGAACTTTCTCCTGTTCTCATCACTCTGTGTGAGTCCTGCCCTTGATCAGTAGGCGATGTTAGAGTGAAGCGTTAACATCCGATTAGGATGGTTGGAGAAGTGAGTAATGGACCTGTCTTTTAGAACAGGATCTGTATGGTTGCCTCTGTGCTAAACAGAGAGATTGGTGGCTTGTGGTCATTGGCCGGCCCCGGATTTGCTTAGCCTGAGTTATGTCCTGGTTTGTGTCAGACGGTGATGGGAATGGAGTTTACAGAGAAATCTGAGCAAAGAACCTTATTATGTTCCAACGGAGCTCACTGATTTCATTAACAAGACACCGGTCATTTTCAAAACCAACAATTTTGGTAAGAATCTTGCCATTCTTACCTGTTAGGAACTATTACGAGCTACATTGTGTGCCCCTTCATGAAAAGGTTATGTAACTGAGAGTTCAAGAGTTAGTTGATTTAAAGACATCATCATTGGCATGACTCAGACCAAAAGGAATCTTACCACAAGCAGCATACAAACATGTCTGCTGTTGAGGTACACTATGTTTACTTTTTGAGATAAAACCATTGAAATGTTAATTTGTGACATGCTACATGTAGTGTAACAGTAGCACAAGTAGAGACACAAGTTGGCCAAATGACTCAGTGATGCCAGTTACAAAGCAATACATAACCTTTCTAAAGTCTGCTACCAGTCACACCAGACCAAGTGAGGCTGTGGCAGTAAAACCAGAGTGTACTGAATTGAGCAACAAAGTGTTTTATTTATTATAAACTCAACTTTTTATTTGTATTTTTCCCCTTTACAAAATTACTTTAAATGACAAGTGATAATAATGCCTGCAAGCTATTTTAAGAAAATGAAAGGGTGTCTCACAGGGGTTGCTATATTTTAGCATGTAGTGAATCACTTTACACTGTTCAGACAATCACATGTGATGCAATTACCAGGCGGCGCTTCATAGAGGTGTCACATCAGTTACATTTCCATTCGGAGTTCTTGAAGAAAAAGTTCTTTGGGCCCACAAACAGAGTGTAATAGCAATGGGGCAAAAAGGAAATGGCCGGATCTCTGGATAGTACCCTAGCAAATGTACAGGGGGGGCAGTTTGAGACAGGCCAAAGCACTGAGAACATTTCCTCCAAAGTTTTCAAGCATGGAGAGGAAACAAGCATGCCAAAATGCTAAATAAAAGGGCTGACATTTTAATGATGGATAGTACTTGAGGGAAATCACAGCTCGATAATGAGAGAGCAATAACTTCCTTCTACAAGTTACGATCTAAAAATGTTTTTCTTGCAACCCTCTATCTTACAAACTTTTTGAATTAAAATATGAGTCAACAGAGATGTTGCTCAAACAAACGGCTTCACAGACACCCATAAATGACAAAGACTGATTTTTGATATCAGTCCAAACCCCAAGCTGCTTAATCCTCTCTTTGATTCTGTGATTGAATGCATAGCCAATAATACAAGCCAATGCAGCGCTATAACATTCTTCTTTTTGCATATTATCTCACCCGCAGTCTCTCTCTCTCTCACACACACACACACACACACAAACATTAAAGACTCTAACTTGGCCTACTTTGGGTGTTCAGGGAAAAAGCGCCACTGTTCAGGATGTGAACCAGGCATGCTGATTTTCCAACATATGCATATCTGTTTATGTTGTTTTAAAATCAGCAGAAAATGGTACAAATAAATTAGCACAATCTGAAATGTTAATTCATACGCCCTTATTCCTAATAGATTTGTCAAAAATGAATGACAGAGGTGTGTGCAGCCAAACGCCTGTGGGCCTATCTAGAAGTTTTGTGATACATTATCAGTAGAATGAAGGCACACAGATAAGGTGCAGTGATTACGGTTAGGGCTGCTGTTTACCACCAGAGATAAAGCAGAGTGCTAACGTTGCCCCGCTGGGGTGTGCACGGTAGCTGGAGACAACAAATAACAACCAATAGCATACAGCAGCACCTTGAAATAAACCTTTTTTTGGATTAGGAAGCAAATTAGCCCCACCCTTCAGCCTGAATCCCCCGGTCTGTGTAAATAAGCCATCAATGGCTGTCACATAACTGGCCAGGACAAATGAAGATGCAGGGTGCTGCCTGGGCTGCCGCTGCTGACTGTAATTGCAATCTTTCAGACGGGAAATGGCAAATTGCTCCTCTCATCATTAGCAAGCAGCTAAGACAGAAAACAGACATGGAAGCCTGCAAACATAATTATAATGACAAACTGGGAGGCAGAGGAACTGCTATGGAACACATCTGGGACTTTCATGAGACCACTGCAGACTGACTGAACAGGTCTGGAGTGATTTTTTCCCTCGCATGTGTGGCTGTTTAAATTCAGATCCCGGCAAGCGATCTGCACTATGTTTACCTAGCGACGGCAGGAAAGACTTACTTGTGCAGGCCACAGACGGAGGGTCAGAGAGTGCTCTGTAGTAGCCGTCCTCACAGTCGCAGCGCCAGGAGCCCTCACGGTCGTTAAAGCTGTGCGCCGGACAGCGAGAGCACTGAAGGTCCTGGGAGGAAGACTTGTAGAAACCGCGACCGCACGCTGCAGAGGGAACAAATGAAAGAATGAGGCCGAGGCAAAGACAGGACAAAGACAAAGAAATCTGAGTAATGAACACTGTTTACACAGACAGTATTATGTGGGGATCTCAAGAAAAGTATGAGTGACTCCCAAATCTCTGTATAAGGTCATTTGCTAAAATGAAAACCAGGTGGGGTGTGGTGCTCACTTTTACAATTTGTCATATTCACTTTTTGAAAACGAGTTATGAAAAGTTCCACAGAGTGAATTTCCTTTCAAGACTCTGATTCATTTGGATAACTGTTACAACTTTTTAAGTTTAAGTTTTAAGTTTAGAGTTTAGAGGGGGAAAAAAGTTACCACCGAGCACTTGATTAGATCCTGAAGCTTGACATTTTTTGACAAACATTTTGGATCCCATGAATTCTGCCTTATCCCTGTTGTCATTTGCTCAGCTGTACAATACAATGTATTTCCTTTTGTCAGGGGGAAACGTTCACTGCAGTTTACATAAAACCAGCGCAGACAGCTAAGAATGTAAACAAGAAGTGCGGTGTTTTAAACTGATACCAATGTTTAAAAGTTGAAAACATAAGTTGTTGATAAGTGTCCCTAAAATTTAGTTATCAAAGAATTGTGACCAAAATATGTCCTAAGTGGCCCGTTTAACAGTAGAAAAGTAAACTTGTCTCTTTGGGGGACAAACAGTTTGAGTCGCTGTTTATAAATTAAATCAATCATGTTTTGGCATTTCTGTACTGTTATGTCTTGTTAGTTATCAGCCGACACATACCAACACTGACACATCTGCGATAATCAGCCAATAAATGAATCAGTGGCAGCCCACACCTAATTTGGCCCTTAATGGGTTAATCCTGCTGTGCTGGAACCAACCAATAAATAAATAAAATGATACCCACCCTTAACCAAAAGCTCAAGAGTTACCTGGAATTCTCACAGCAAGTTTTATTCTCTCTCTGAATGTCTGGAGGTGATATTAGCCCTGTGCAAACACGAACAGGGCATGACAGAACAAACCATTGTGTTCTCATCTTGAAGCAGCCAGTATTTGAATCAACCTGCCCCCTCTGGCTTCATCAAGCAGGCTGAGCCATGAAACGGCATCGCAAACCTCATGTTGAATTTGCTCAGGGATAAACTACAACCTCTCACTCGCAGAGTGAAATAACAAGGCTATTTTTATTCTGATGAATCCTCAGGTCAGTGGAGAGGTCTGTCTTGTTTATAACAAGTCCTATCTCTGAGAGGAAACAGTCTTCAGTCGAGCGGAGAGATTATCGAGCACAAGCACATGGATCATTTCAAAACTGCACCTTTGACCAAGACGGTAAAAAAACTTGAGACTGATATGACTAATGAAAGAACACTCATCATTGCCTGTGTGGTGAGACAGTAATTTCAAAATTACACTCAACCCAAATAATTCATCTTCCCACCATGTTTCAGAAGTTGCAAATGATTCTCAGGTCCCAAAAGAGCCATGAAAGCAAGTAATGACAAAGGAACAACGTAATTGCCAACAAAATACAGTGATTCACTGCAACCTCGCTGTGAATCACATGCATCTGTTAATGTTTAAATACCAGTACGGAGTAAAATGTCTATTCTGGAGATGGCTATTTTAGCCTCGAAGTCGACTAATCCACAGTGTGTGCGCGAAACAGAGCTAAGCCTGGTGAAAAACTGCAATCTAGGCCACATGATGTCTTAAACAATCGGCAAGAAATCTATGCTTCCGTGAATAGCTCTGCATACAATCAAACAATCAATCAAATTACACCAAAAATGGATTTTACATGAGCCACTTGGGGAAATGAGCAATGATTTTTGTAACACCCCCATTACAGATCTCACCTCCTGTGACAGTTCTGGAATAAGAAGGCGGCACAGAGGCATCCCAGTTTGCTTGTTGTAACATTTCGAGAGTGGAGTACACGAAAGCCTGTCGTTCTCCATTTATCGCACTGCCACAGCCTCGTGAAACAAGACTTTTTTTTTTGGAAAAAAGACAGTCTGCTAACTCTTCACATGCCGCTGCCTTTTACTGTATTTACAGTTCTGATCAGCGATGCCATTTGACAAACAGCAAAGAAAACCATATTTAGTTGCAGCATCTGAAAAGCAGTGTAAACACTCCCCCATGGATGTTGATAATGACGCTGAAGTGTTTTCCACGGCAGGTTAAAGATCGGCTAGATCAAGCTTAAGGCGATGCTTTCTCCCACCATGCCGGTCTGTTTAAACATTCTGATAAGCTAGTGTGTCTGTTTGCCTTTGGGTTTCTGAGAGCTCATGTGCTGGGTGGCCGGTGTGCAGAGGGGAAAAGCCCAGCAGGAACCAAGCTATCTCCCACCGCGACCGCCACTCCAGCAGACAAGAGGATCCACATCCCAGATTAAGATGAGTACAGGGCCGGGCAGGGGAGAACTTTACTGAATAACTCCAGTTTATAGCAGCTTCACTCTGTTTTCATAGCTTTCACATTATTTCTATTTCTTATGTCGTATGTATGGTTTTTCTTTTACAGCCTTAATACAGATCCCAATACCCAAACTCAGGTCCAATGCCAGCACTCTTTTTTCTCCCAAATATAAAAGCTGTAAATCTGTCAGTGTAAAACAAATGATTAAGACCATTATGTTGCAGTCTATGAAGTAAAGTTTGTGAGTTCATTGACGTCAGAACTAATAATAACAATGGCCCAAACTCTAAAAAAGACTCCAGTTTTAATAAAATGAACTTTAACTCATGCTCAGGAGCAAAACACAGTTAATTTTCTATGCGTTTTTCTAAGTTTATCGGTACACCAGGCTGGCTTTAGCACTCGGAAATATTTACAGAAGCAACAAGGCAGCAAATGAGGCCTCAAAAAATCGAATGCCTGCACGACACAGGCAACTAAGTGTTTCTGCAGCTCTACCCAACACTGGCAGTGCATTGAGTGACAAGTACAAACACAGCCGTCCCGGCCCAGCATTCCTGTCCCAGCGGCAGTGGCAGCAGCACAGTGCACACTGACTCGCTGTTGGCGAGTTCTGTGTCTCTGGCACCAGATGCTGAAGAGACGCTCTTAGTTTGAGACAACAGGATGGGGTGATAGTGAGTGAGACTGCAGAAACACTTTCCCTCTGAGTGGAGATATCTATGAACCAATTACATCAAGTCTGTTTACCAAGTAGCCTTCTTAACTGACAAAATGACTGACACTTTACTAACAAACACTGACACACAAACAAATAAACACTACAAGACTTTTTACTACTTGCATTGACTTTGACAAGAGGACTTACAGTCCAACATATAATCCACAATGACTCCTTGAAAAAAAAGGACCCAATTTATATGCCTGGTCTTCTTGCACAGATAAAGGCCAACTAATGGCTTGTGCTTGACGACATGAGCCCAGTGGCAGACACAACAGCCGTCTTATTTACGACACTGAGAAATTAGTTAGTCCTTAGAGAAGCGGGTTGAGGTTAAGCAGAGAGGAAAAAAATATGCAAGTCTTACATTCCAGCCAGCTCCTCGGCAGGCTACAGAGCCAGCATCTGTAATTTCCCTTCCAGTGGTCAAGCACTTTCATTCAGTGATGTGTGGGGGGACGAGCTGCAGTCAGCAGTTTTATACAGAAAGAGGAAGAGGAGCCGGAGAAAGGAGAGGTCCTCGGAGTAGTGGGCTAGAGATTATCAAACGCTCCCGTGACCATAGTGTCTCAATCACAGCACACATTGACCCAGAGAATAAACCAAAGTCTCCTTATCTTATGCAGACACACATACACAAAAAAAGGGGGAAAAGCGGATTTCTGTATTTTTGTAAGATCTCTGTTTATTTCTTTTTCCTCCAAGCTGAGTTGCTTGACATTCTTGCATTACATCCAATTTCTCTCACGCTTTGGCAGTGTCATGACACTGTGAGGGATGGGGGGGGGCGGGGGGCAGCAATGACTCCTTATGCAACAGCCTGACATATCCTTTCCTGGCCAAAATGGAAAATGATTTCCCGTGTCTGGAGGTGACGCCATGGCACTTTTTTTATTCAGCCTTCACTGACAGATCGGATTTCAAATCTGCCCCTTTCTGTGCAGTTTTCAGGTATCAAAAAATTTAAACTGAAGCCGGACAACAACCGTCCTTGCTTGCTTTTAACACACAAATCCAATCTATGCCTGTTACCACTAAAAGCCACCGTGAGACGCCATCTTAACCTTGGGCCTGACATACGGAATTCCAAACTTGCCCTTCTTGTTTCTGTTTAGTTTTCTAGTATATTCTAGGACTGGGGATGAATCTCAATACTTTTTAAAGGTAGCCTACCATCTGAAATGAGTTCATAGGATCAACTATCAAGACCGAACCAGACAAAGAATGCTCAGTCAGGTTCTGTCCAGGTATGGTTGAGTTTATACTACACTGGGTGTGTGCATAGGCAGATGTTTTCACAGACGAGCAGTCACCATGTACGATGCATGTGTCCGGTCCATGTGGTTATATATTTTATGCAGATGCAGAAACATGTTGTTTTGGTATTAGTACCAAATCTCAGGTATTGTGCTGGTGCTGCTATTGAAAACTTCTAACGATACCCTGTCTTGGAGAAACTGGAAACTGAGCTTCCTTGCTTGCTTACAACCCACAAATCCAAACAAGGTCACAATCCTTATCGTTACTGATTATGGAGGACTGTAGCTGGTCTAAGCAGGACAGCTGGGATATTGAGTTTCTCCCTATCTGTCTCAATATTGCTGCAGACAACGCTCCAAGTGAGCTGTACTGTGGGAATGTGGGAGAGTCCCTCTGTTTTTTGCAGGCAACCAGAGCCAGAGTCAGAATGACTAGTGTGGGCTTTTTTGTCTCCCCGGTTGTAGCATGATGAGTCCTGTCAGGGCCAGGGCCTCCCCCCTTCTCCAGCCGCCCTCCCGTCCGGTCTGATTATGTGTTAAATCCGCCCATGTGTCGGGATGGATGTGGAAAGAATGCGCGCCGAAGGGAGCCGAGCGG